ATCTCCCTCCCAAGGCATTGCTGAGCAGATCTCAAGGTTCACAGAGGTCTCTGATGACATTTAAATTTGTCAGCCATTGGAGGTTCTTCTAATAATGTCACGTAAAGGAAGGAAAAGGGGTTTCGTGATGGTTTGTGACCAGCATGGAATGACTGAAAGGACACCAGCAGATGGTCTGGAAACATCTGTGGTTTAGATGCTTGTCTCTGCAGTTTATCTACAATTCCATCTGTAACTTTTCTTAAAGGTTTGCCTGCAACCATGCATACTTTACAACAACCTGGCTAATTGTATGAACATTTATTTCATGTTTGGTAGTGTTTTAGAAAGCTATTTGTGTAAAAGTTGGATATCTAGATGTGTTAATTGATGTTTTTCATGCCTTTTAAGAAAGCAAGATTAAAAATGTAGCTTGTTATTTAAAAATCTGATTCAAGAGAATTAGAAAACCTTACTGGATGGAGTTTCTGCTTCTCACTTACTGCTCTCAAAGCAGTGTCAGGTTCTGTTTGTTCAAAAATAAAGTGGAGGTAACTTGTGTTCATTCCATGTTAGAGTTGTCATACGTAGCAAGGGAGAAAAAACTGTCTCTCCTGTATTACATGAAGTGTTCTCAAAAGCACATTTGTGGATTAAGACTGAACACCTCTCCTTAAAAATGTTTTCTGCTCTGTAAAACCTGTGTCTGATGTTGTGTTGCTTTCTCTGCTTGCAATGCTGTGTTGCTGACAAGAGGAAGGGCGTGCACAGGGTGGCATCGGAAGGTGCTGTTCAGCCTGGGAATCTGGATGAGCACAGCAGATTTTTGCACTCTAATATTGAATTTGTGGGAAATAAGTTTGAATTTCTCCTGCTCGTATATATGAAGAGTGCAGTGCAGCAGAGAAATGTGCAAGGTTTGTATTCATTTTCATCCTGACTCCACATTTCTAAAGGAAATGTCAGTGTTATACAAAGTGTATTTCCCCTGTTTTTTATTTTATGGTGTTAAAAACAATCTTAGCAATTGTTAAATCATCTTTATGTAATGATGGTGCCCTCTCAACTGGAGTTTCTTCAGTGTGTTCAGGTATGTTATGTTCACACTAGTGATACATTTTGTAAACTGAACTATCTGCGTTTGTTTGGGCAATGTGAATAAGAATAATGAAATTTAAAGTTCCTTTTAGTCTTGAGTTAGCCATAAGGTAGAGCAAATTCAGAAACTTCCTACTTTGAATTGCATCTCCTTTTTCTGTAAATATGAGGCATTAATTTTGGTGTTTTTTGTTTGCTTTTTTTTTTTTTTTAAATAGTTTTCTGTTTTGAGTCAGTTCATGAGTTTAATACCCTAAAAGATTAAAAATTCCAACATATGTCTGGAAAAGAGTGTGGGTGGAACAGCAGCAGGAAGCTGGCAGATTAGCTCGGTCATCTTGAGACTTTTATAATTCACATTGGTAATAGAATGCAGATGATTCTCGAGTGCTGCTAAGGCTGATTGTAACACCACCTCTGTTAATGGAAGAAGTGATACTGCATGCAAGCAGGCAGGAATGATTACGTTTTTATGCAGTGATGTTTTACAAAAGAACTTCAGGTTAACTGCTTAAAGGCCAAATGAGTAATTTTTAATAGATGTGAATACGTGTGTTGGTCAACAAGTGTTTTCTTCAGTTTTATTTGTGAAAACCAGTGCTTGAACACAGCTCCAAGATAATTCATGGTGAATTATTTCCTACATTAAATACAATCCCATAAATGCTAGTGAGAGTTCCTGTACTTGTTTTTTGCCATTTCTGGATCAGGTAAACTTTCAGACTTTTTCTTAAGAAAGGAGCAGATGTTTTCCTAAGACAAGTGAGAAAGGAAAGCTGTCTACGTTCAACACATGAATGAGGAACAGAAAACTGTGAATGACATTTCTTTCCAGTAAAAAAGTGCTTACAGGTATTTTTTCCTTAATAGAAGCTTAGCTTGAAATTGAAAAAAGAGATTTGCATGTTACAGTGCTCTCTCCATTGACCCCAAGACCTTGAATCACTGAATAACTTCTTACTTCTTTTGTCTCTGTATTTCACACAGGCAACCTCATCTGCACTGCAGTGTGAAAACCAGACTTGAAAGTAGACTTGAGCATCACAGGCTTTATGGCTTCTGGGTTTTCTGTCCCTCTTGCTGGCCTTAAGATGTCTGTAATTTAGTTACCAAGCATCTGCTCTGTGCTGAGGAGATATAGGCTCAGGATGTGAGAGAAATAGACACCATACCTGTCAGATCTCCAAAAAGAAAGCAGGTATGAAATTTACCTCTTAGCTTATTCTTGAGTAAAATGTTAAAAAATGATACATGGTATTGCTGTAGCCAAGCAGCAGCAGTGCTCAGTGGAAGAGCAATATCTAACTTTCCAAAGGGACCTGTCCCAAGAATAAGCCAGTAAATCTGCATCACCACAACATCCTGTGACACAGCAAAGAGCATGTGCATGAGGGTAACCTGCCCAGAGCAGTGTTACTGTTAGAGTAACAAAGAGCTGAGTGCAGAAATAACTGGTACCTGGAGGGAGAAATCACAGAAAGCATCAGAAATACAATGTTGCTGTTGTCAACATTAAAAAATATGGAGTAGGGTGATTTAAGAGGATGACAAATAGCTGGTAGGGACACGTGACATGGGAGTGCAAGGCTGTCTGGTTAAAAGCTGTACAGGGCACCTGTCCATTTAAAAAAATAGTGAATAGGTTTGGAAGGGGGACACTGTGCTCTGTCAAAAGATTAATCAGTATTTAATTGTTCTGAGTAGTGCAAATTGGAACAGAACATATTTTTTTTAGCCTGATACCTGTCAGAAAATCCCAATATGGTTTTGAAGAGCAATGTGCAATATCTGAGGTTAAATCCCTGATGTATCTGTATCTCTTGTCAGTCCCTGAATACAGGCTCTTCATTCCACAAAGATCCTCATAGCATTTTCCCTCATTAATTGCAGTTTGATTTAATCTCTCTTGAACTCAAGGGCTCAGTCCTGAAGTTTGGAGTATTTGGAGTGAAATCTCCCCTCTGCATTGCACTGTAGCACTAATATCTTCCTCATTCCACTGCAAAAATCTGTTCCAATACAAACTGCTTTTTTGGAAGGGTGAATTAGGAAGGCAATTCAGCAGTGCCCTGGTTGTATCTTTTCTCAGGTACTGTTGTGCTGGTTGCCTGGCACATGAGACATACCTGACTTAGCCATTAGGTCTGCTGTGGCAAATTCAAAAGAGCAGCAGGCACTGTCTGTCTGATTCAGCAGAAAGTGCTCTGCAACATCTCGTGATTGCCACCAAGATGGCCTCTCCCACAGAATTTCAGGTGTGTGATCATCCACTGTAGAGCTGCACCTTTTATTCATCTGCAAATTCTTGAGTGTGTTTTCTGAATGCTGAATTTCTCTTACCTCAGCGTTCAAGGCCACCTACTTCTTTCTGTATTCAAAGCCTTCTCACTTTAATATTAATCTTCCAGCTTTGTTTCTTTAGCAGATTCCATCAGATAACTCCAGATTTTTGAAAAAAGACACAACAACCAACAGCAATGAACGGAAATATTTAACAGATTGGTGCTCCCTCTGCGCTGTTACTTCCCTTTCAAAGCTCCTACTTGTCATCTCCTCTAGTCTAATCCACCTTCATCTTTCAGTGCTTTCAGGAATTTTGTCTTCTTCAACAGTGTTGACAATTGCCCACTGGCATGGCAAGGAAGGCTTGACTCAGGTCCAGAGTGGTGACATTGTGGCTTGTTTTTCTAAAGGTACCAGGTGAACATGGCATGTGTGTATGTACCTTTTCTAAAACCAACAACGCTTCTCCCCACCTACTTCTGTGCAGATTTCCTTCAGATTTTGTTTTGAAGTCTTGCATCCTACCAAGACAACAAAACATGGTTCTCATTTACAAGTCCAAATGCATGATTCTGGACACCCCATCTTGTTTGAAAGTCGTAATTAGGCTTGAAAATCAAAAACTCTTGTGATTTCAGACTGCTCTTTCTTTCAGACTCCATGCATGGTTCTATTTTCCTCTAGGCTGCAGATTTTTATACCTCCAGCACTTGGCTATGCTAAATTAAAAATTCTGTCACTTTCTGCTTTTTCTCTGAAACACATACTGTAGTGCAGCTTCAAGCCTCAGAGTTCCAGCAGGAGCTGATTGACAGCAATTGTGTAACTGGGTTGTGCAGACTAGAGGAATCAGAACAGACTCTTTTTAAGTTAAAGTTCTCTGCACATCTGTTCAAGAGACCTTGATGCCTGAGCCCGCCCGCCAGGCAGCTCAGCACCCACAGTTCCTCCTAAGCCGTGTTCTGGGGCCCATGGTCCACCTGCTTTGTGAGGGACACCCTCTTTGGTTATGACCTACCTTGATGGTGTATTGAAAACTGCAGCAAGCAATGCAGGGTTACCAAAATCATTAGTAGTTCACTATAAATGTATCTTCTCTTACACACTTTATTCCAGCCCAGTCAAAACCAGTGAATCATGTTGGGATCTGGAAAAGCTTTCCTGAACAATCTTCATGTACTGCAGTAGGTACCTTGGGCACCATGTGCACTATGCTCACAGTACTGAGCTGAAAACTAGTTTAATAACTCAGTCTACTCGCTGTCTCAAACCATCAAGAAAATTTTACACAAGTTATACACAAGACAAAGATAAAATATCACTCCCAGCTGTTAGTCTGTGTTATAAATTACAACATTTCAAATATTCATATATTCTCTAGTAACTGTACAGGTTGCTACAAACTGTCAGCATTATATATATATATATATATATATGTACACGTATATGCAAATAGAGTTAACGTTGCCTGCTTCTTCAACTCTGGGTAGGCTCTCAACAAGGTGGGAAACAAAAAAATATGTGTCATTTTAGCCTCTATGTATGTACATAAATACATTTCTATATATACAGAAACACATGAAGACTGACAAGCCCAATCCAAAATGGGGAATATAACCACATGTAGTAAATCCTTCTTAAGGCATATGAAAGGATTTTTCTATTTTCATGCTCATCATCATTGCATCTGCGTTCATCTTCTGTGAGTGACATTGTGTTGCTGGATGATACTACACTTAGAAAATTAAATCTAAAATTTTGTCTCTGTTGAAATCTGTAGGAAATAGAAGGAAATAAATGTCACCCTCTGTAAGGAATAGCCAGGGCAGGTTCCCTCTGATGAGTGATGTATAAGAATTTGCTCCTCTAAAGTGTTTGTGTGGGAAGACTTTGGTCTGACATTTTCCCTCTATGGGGTTGCCATGTGCTGGATATTTTCTTTTTCTTTGAGTCTGTGATGAAAGTCCCTTCTTATCTCTGTGTCTGGACTCCTCTTCCATCAGTGCCATTTAAATAAACGGGACTAATGCTGATGTCTCTATCACCTGAACATGCTACCAGTAAGCTCATCATGGGGGAGCTGTGGTGGACAGGTGAGGAGGCCAGGGGAGAGCCTGGTGAGATGGCCTTTGCCTGCCTGCCCTCTGCAGACCCTCCGAGCACAGGACAGGGCTTGTGAGCCCAGCCCGCACCGCTCGCTCCCGTAAGGTTTCGCCCCGAGTCAAATCCCATTAATCAGCTGTCTGGATGCTTTCTGCCCTGGGCTGACACAGGAGCTCAGGGGTGAAGATGCTTTTGTTATCTGACCTAGCAGTCTCCATGAGCCCCCTTAGAGGCTGCATTTCCTACAAGTCGGAGCGTGGCTGCTGGAGATGGAAGTCTTACCGTGCCCTCACGGCTGCGCAGCCCGTTGCTGGGGATGATGATACAGTCCTTGCTGCTACCCTTCTCCTGCAGTGAACACAAGGAGTTGTGAATTAGGAAACAGATTGTGGGTTTTTTTTTCTCTTTTTCACATTGAAGAGGGTATTGCTTTTAAATCTCTGGAATATGCTTGGGAAGTTGACCTGGAAGGAAGGAAGCTCTCGCTTGTCAGCCCTTTATGCCCCTTAGAATAATAGAATCGTTTTGGCTGGAAAAAACCTCTAAGATCATCAAGTCCTCCAATAACCCGCATCCCTAACCACCACATCTACGTTTTAAACACCACCAAGGATGATGCAGAAGAGCTGGACCAATTCAGCTAAGTGGGGTTAGACAGTTTCCAGGTGACTGTAGTTCTAGGTTTGGTACTTTTAAAGACATTTAATATATGCAAGATCCTTGTTATTGATTTAAGAACATTTCCAGATATTTAGATGCACTACTTTAGTACTGCCTTTGAAGGCAGACAGACCTGGGGAGCCTACATGCAAGAAGCATCAAGTCTACCTTGCAAAAGCCACTGCAGCACAAGCAGCAAACCTGTGCCAGATGGGTGATGGCAGAGGATTGATGATGTATGGGAGGGATTTCACCCCATGCTGTGCTCTTCCCAGCAAGGTTGCAAGTGAAGTCCATGGCCAGGTGAGTCTCCAGTGGGAATCATTCACTCCTTTCACTAGTGGCTTGCCAGGCACCTGGACCAGAGGCCACTCTTGGTCTCCAAATTGATTTAAGACCAGCTGAGTTTTAATCATTAACTTTTTTAATTTAGAGATGGTGTAGGGCACATGGCACTGCTGGGTGCCTATGAGTAATGGAAAGGCACTAAAGTAGTGAAATATAAAAACTGTAGTGTTACCTCAGCAAGTTTTAACTTGGGGGAACTGGCTGTGTCCTTCTTCAGCAAAATGTGCAAAACTGCATCATGAATGGTGAGGAAAAACATGGATGGCTTGATCTCCTCATCAAAAAATGCACATCTCTCCAGTTTGTCCAGGAAGCCCTCTGTGGGGGAACAACATCAAAGCACAAGGTGACCTACAGGCCTTGAAAATGAAGGAATAGTGTATCCTGAGCACATCAGTGGAGTGAGCACAGGAATTTCTGATACATTGCACTGCCTTGTTTATGGAAGCAGATGAGTTCCTCTTTACTGAAGTGGAGAGGGTGGGATATAAATGCCCACCAGTACTGTCCTGCTCAGTGGCAGGCAGAAGAGAATTTGAGCCACATTTGTCATGTCATGCCTAACCCAGACTGCCCAATAGCAGGTCTTGCAGGCCAGAACTGTACAGCACAGCAGCACCATAGTGCCATTGTGTGTGGTCCCAGCCTGGTGAGGACAGCACAGTTCATGAACATCCCCTGTGGGGTGACACCTCTGCTCAGCTGGATCTGTTCACTGTCAAGACTCAAAGGTAAAACTGGGGTGATCCTCTGCAGCCATGCTCTGTGGTGGATAGGAAGGCAGTGGGACCAGGCTGTGGTGATGCTGATGGGAAGGCAAGTACTCACCATGTGCCCCTGCAATGTAAACGTCGATGTTGATTCGGACAAATTCTTTCAAAGTCTGTTAAACCAGAAAGAGGCACCATTTAGGTCCTACTTTTTTAGCTGGTAACAGCCAGCATGGTGAGTAGCCACAGAAAATGTACAAACCACTTTCAGATACTTAAGATGTAAGATGGTAAGCAGCTCTAAGCTCAAAATCTGCTGCACCTAGAGGCAGGATGGCCTCTTCTCATGGCTGCAGACAGGGATGACCAATCCCTTTGGAAAGGGACAACATTAAACACATTTAGCCCACAGTGAAAAAGATATTCTTTCATTAATTGTATGGCTTTATTTTACCTACTTGACATATGGTGAAACTAGAACTCCAAAAGCTTCTGGGGAGATTTTTATAACTGGGAATTGGAGCAGAACCACAGTTCACACTGACATGGCATGTGATTAGTTCCTATGGAAATAGATTTACACACCCTGTGTGGCTCTAGATAGTTAACTTTAGCAAATAATATTTGAAAATTTTGTTCTTATTGCTTTGTTCAAGGTATCCTGGGAATCAAGTACGGGAGCAGAAATGAAACTCCAATGCTCCAACTTCCAACCCAGATTTTAAAGCTGTATTTTTATGTACATTTCTGTAAAGTTTCCCAGAATCTTGCCAGGTCAAGAAATGGTGTCACAGCCAACACTCCAATTCCAAGAAAAATTAGGTTAATTATTTAATCCATATCCTAAACTTTTTTCTATGGAAAATGTACATTAAAATTCACATACATTCAAAGGTTGCCACTGACTTTCCAGTCCATGTAGGAATTAGGATAGAAACCCAGAACAGAATCACAGGATGGTTTGGGTTGGAAAGGACCTTTAAAGATCCTCTAGTCCAACCCTCCTGCCATGGGCAGGGACATCTTTCACTAGACCATGTTGCTCAAAGCCCCATCTAACCTGTCCTGGAGCACGTCCTATTATAGGTCAGCCACAGCTTCTCTGGGCAACCTGTCCCAGTGTCTCACCCACCTCATAATGAATAATTTCTTCCTTGTATCTAATCTAAATCTACTCTGTTTCAATTTAAACCCATTGCCTCTTGTCCTTTCACTACAGGCCTCAGTTAAATAATCTCTCTCCATCTTTCCTGTAAGTACAGAAAGACCACAATAAGGTGTGTCTAGAACCTTCTTTTATCCAGGCTGAACAACCCCAACTCTCTCAAGCCTTTTGTGATGTGATAGATGTTTCTGTCCTCTGATCATTTTTGTGGCCCTCCTCTGGATCTGCTCCAACACCTCTATGTCCTTCTTGTGTTGGGTGCTCCAGAGCTGGACACAGTACTCCAGGTGAGGTCCCATGAGAGCAGAGTAGAGGGGGAGAATCACATCCATTGACCTGCTGGTCATGCTTTTTTTGATGCAGCCCAGGATAGAGCTGGCTTTCTGGGCTGCAAGGACACATTGCCAGCTCATGTCCAATTTTTCTTCCACTGGGATCCTCAAGCCCTTCTCTGCAGGGCTGCTTTCAATCCCTTCATCTCCCAGCCTGTGCAAGTACTGGGGATTGTCCTGACACTGATGCAGAACCTTGCATTTGGTCTTACTGAACATCATGAGGTCCATGTTGTCCCACTCCTGCCTGTCAAATTTCCTCTGGGTGCCACCCCTTTCCTCAAATATAACTGCGTTCATTTGGTTTTGTTTCACATGATCACTGTTTATCTTGTGAATTAGTTACCTTTTGGAGAACTCGCATGGCAGAAAAATCAAGGAAAGACACTGATGAGAAGTCCAGAACGATGCTGTGGATGTCAACCCGGGGCACAGAGATGCCTGGGGGGAGGTCAGAGCCCCAGTTGATCTGAATGGGCAAGTCTGTCATGTTGGTGGGCTCATCCAGCTCCTCGATCCTGTTGTTGTCTAATTCTTCATCTGACTCTTGTGTGTAGTTAGCCAGGCAAATCAGGCCTTTCTGTGTTGACAGAAAAAAATGTTATATTTAATACTTCTTTTTAATACCCAGCCAGGGTAGTAGTGCATCTTACACAAGGGTGAGAGTGGTGACAATGCAAAGCTGATGTATCCATTAGATGGAGCAGGACCCACCTGCACTTGACACTAGAAAAAGTTCTGTCCTCTTGTCTAGAGGAGTTTGGAAATGTTTGCTTTCTTCTCATCAATAGTTAAATTATTATCATAATGAGTTATGACTTTTTTATTGTTCCCTGAAGTCAGTGGTCAGATGTGCTTTGATTTAATAATTTTGGAAAAAGTCAACAAAAAGCATGAAGGATTCAGGCCAGGAGAAAACCAGCTTTATCCTACCATGAATGCAGTATGAACATCACCTCTGTGGGATCTGATCCTGCCATTTGGTGGCAACCAGAGATCCAATGGACACATACAGGCTCTGCCCATGGTAGGGCTGTAGGTCTCTGACTGTGAGAGCCATATAAAATCTTACATTTGAAATGTGTTTATGTCATGAAGTGACAATGTGGGGAATAGCATATCTAATCAGGACAGGAACCTGTGAGGCACTTGGCTGCTATGTCAAGCCACAGTTCTGGTTGTTTAACCCCTCCAGGGTGGGGTTGCCTTACATACAGATGTCACTTGCAGCTCTCCTTTCCTCAGCATCTTTCTGATCTTCCTCAGAGCTTTATTGCGTTTCCTCAGGACTCTCAGTGGGTTGAAGCCAACCTGCAGACACAGCCATAATAACTAAAAATAAATATATTTTCTCTCCATCTTTCCTGTAAGTACAGAAAGACCACAATAAGGTGTGTCTAGAACCTTCTTTTATCCAGGCTGAACAACCCCAACTCTCTCAAGCCTTTTGTGATGTGATAGATGTTTCTGTCCTCTGATCATTTTTGTGGCCCTCCTCTGGATCTGCTCCAACACCTCTATGTCCTTCTTGTGTTGGGTGCTCCAGAGCTGGACACAGTACTCCAGGTGAGGTCCCATGAGAGCAGAGTAGAGGGGGAGAATCACATCCATTGACCTGCTGGTCATGCTTTTTTTGATGCAGCCCAGGATAGAGCTGGCTTTCTGGGCTGCAAGGACACATTGCCAGCTCATGTCCAATTTTTCTTCCACTGGGATCCTCAAGCCCTTCTCTGCAGGGCTGCTTTCAATCCCTTCATCTCCCAGCCTGTGCAAGTACTGGGGATTGTCCTGACACTGATGCAGAACCTTGCATTTGGTCTTACTGAACATCATGAGGTCCATGTTGTCCCACTCCTGCCTGTCAAATTTCCTCTGGGTGCCACCCCTTTCCTCAAATATAACTGCGTTCATTTGGTTTTGTTTCACATGATCACTGTTTATCTTGTGAATTAGTTACCTTTTGGAGAACTCGCATGGCAGAAAAATCAAGGAAAGACACTGATGAGAAGTCCAGAACGATGCTGTGGATGTCAACCCGGGGCACAGAGATGCCTGGGGGGAGGTCAGAGCCCCAGTTGATCTGAATGGGCAAGTCTGTCATGTTGGTGGGCTCATCCAGCTCCTCGATCCTGTTGTTGTCTAATTCTTCATCTGACTCTTGTGTGTAGTTAGCCAGGCAAATCAGGCCTTTCTGTGTTGACAGAAAAAAATGTTATATTTAATACTTCTTTTTAATACCCAGCCAGGGTAGTAGTGCATCTTACACAAGGGTGAGAGTGGTGACAATGCAAAGCTGATGTATCCATTAGATGGAGCAGGACCCACCTGCACTTGACACTAGAAAAAGTTCTGTCCTCTTGTCTAGAGGAGTTTGGAAATGTTTGCTTTCTTCTCATCAATAGTTAAATTATTATCATAATGAGTTATGACTTTTTTATTGTTCCCTGAAGTCAGTGGTCAGATGTGCTTTGATTTAATAATTTTGGAAAAAGTCAACAAAAAGCATGAAGGATTCAGGCCAGGAGAAAACCAGCTTTATCCTACCATGAATGCAGTATGAACATCACCTCTGTGGGATCTGATCCTGCCATTTGGTGGCAACCAGAGATCCAATGGACACATACAGGCTCTGCCCATGGTAGGGCTGTAGGTCTCTGACTGTGAGAGCCATATAAAATCTTACATTTGAAATGTGTTTATGTCATGAAGTGACAATGTGGGGAATAGCATATCTAATCAGGACAGGAACCTGTGAGGCACTTGGCTGCTATGTCAAGCCACAGTTCTGGTTGTTTAACCCCTCCAGGGTGGGGTTGCCTTACATACAGATGTCACTTGCAGCTCTCCTTTCCTCAGCATCTTTCTGATCTTCCTCAGAGCTTTATTGCGTTTCCTCAGGACTCTCAGTGGGTTGAAGCCAACCTGCAGACACAGCCATAATAACTAAAAATAAATATATTTTTAAAACCACCCCAGTGACACCAGGGAGAGAGACAGCATCTGAGGCCTTTCTTTATGGTCGTGATGAGTCTAGTTTGGACTCAGTGTTGCCTACCACTTTTTTATCAATTTAAACATTTTTTATCAGTTTTCCTTGGTTGGAAGGACATCTACAGATATGACTGCAAACAAGGCAGGCCCACCTGTGCAAGCTGTAGGACACCAGCATGGACAGGGTTATAGCAGTGGTGATGCTGTAGCATGAGCCAGCATCTCCAGCAGGTTGGTTCAGTCCTGGCTGGCCCAGAGCTTGTCCTACTCATCTTCATTGTGAGACAGCCTCCCAGGTGACTGAGATCAGAGCACTCACAGGTTGTGTCTGCTCTGTGCCACCTGACTGCAGCCTGAGTCCTGTACATAGTGTTTTGTTTTTGTGAAGAAGAAAAAGTTGCTCATGCTGGATGTGTATGTGTCTTGAACCTCTTAGCTGGTTTTAACAAAATTAGACAGCAAGTGAATTGAGCTAATAAGGGTTAGGAACTACTAAGTTTCTGCAAGTCTGCTGCCCCATCTAGCTAGTGGGTGGAGGAGGGAGGTGTTAGAAGTATTTGTATTTGTAAAGGAGACTGGTGTTAGCATCTGCACCCACAGAAAAAAACCTTCAGGATCTTCTGAGGTGAAAGATGAGCATATGGGGATCTAAATGTGTTGGATTCCCTTGTTCCTCTTCCAGTTTCAGTCCCTCACATGAAGAGTGAACTGCTCATTACTGATGCTCAAGGTAGTCACTGCTTATCAACTCAGCCCCTAAGAGCAGCAAGAAGGGGAAGTTACTGGTGTGAATTTGGTTCAGTCTGGGATGGTGAACCTCTCTGATGTGGCAAGGGCTCAGCAGTCCAGGGTCTCTCTGCTGGCTATGGAAAG